GTGCGCACTGGACCACCCTGCCCTTGATTTGCCCAGTCACTGGCCACACGATCGCGCGCTGCGGCACCGTGTGCAGGCCTGCGCATGCGGCATGGGGTCTGGTCTTTGGTATGCAAGATGCTCCTTGCAGTATCCCCAAACAATGCACGAATATCTGGCCATGAACTCGAGACGCAGCCAGCCATTAGGATGTGCCGGGCCACGCAGCTTTGCCTGCAGAGACACTCCCCAGGCAGGGCTCCTCTTGCTGCCTGCTCGTCATGAGATCCGGGAGCTCTTCGGTGGCTTTTGCCTGCTTAAATACAAAGTAGACAGGCTTTAGAGACTTGGGTCCCGAGTGCCACCGACCTTGAACATGCTGCAATTGAGCACTGCTGACCCGACCCCTGCTGGGATCCGGAGTCACGGGAGACAGCAAAGACTGGACTCGGCTTGACAAGCAGGGAGCGGCATATTTTTGGCATTTGCATTTCAACCCACTTGTGCAGCAATGTCAATGAGTAGTGTACACTACCCTACCTCCATGTGAAGAGTCTGCGGACCTCAAAGAGCTCTTTCAATACCGGAGTGAGGTTGCAAGAATCTGTTGGCCGGCTTCTGCGAGGGACTGCACCGCTTAACCTTGTTTCGTTTCGTCCTTTTTTGTGTTTTGCGTTGCGGGTTCCGGTCTTGTGTTGTCGCAATGCTCTGTGAAGGAAAACCCGAAACCCGAAAAAGGCTTGAGCCCTCACAACCAAAACCGTAAACCCGGCCGGCAATCTGAGCCCTAGCTCCTGAGCCCTAATGGGCCAATGGGCCCTAACCCCCTGAACTTGAAACCACATGGTGGCCCTTCGTAAGCCCTACCAGACTCGCTTTCAACCCGGAATAGGCCCCAACATGCACCAACCCTGAACACGAAACCCTCATACCACACGCTTACCCGCGCCGAAACGTAAAACTCATCCCTAAACCCTAAACCCTAAACCCCCAAACCTAAACCCCTAAACCCTAAACCCCTAAACCCTAAACCCCTAAACCCTAAACCCCTAAACGCTTTACCGTAAGCTCATACTAAAACCGTGTCGAGGCATCGGCGCCGAGCCGAAGGGTCCTTGCCTCGACAGCGGGAGTCGGCCCAGGGTTAAGGGGGAGCCTTCTTTGGCCTTTTAGGGTTTAGGGTTTGGGGTTTTGGGGCTCTTCTTCGGGTTCTTTTTCAAGGTTTAGGGCTTAGGGTTCTGGGGGTCAGGGGTTTAGGTTCAGGGTCCTAGGGTTTTACGGTTTAAGGGTTTCAGCGGGTTGCGGTGTGGCTTTAGGGCGCCTGAGGTTTAAGGATTCAGGGGTTGTCAGGTTTGGGGTTTTGGGGCAGAGGTTGCGGCCTCAAGGCTTTCGGGTTCAGTTCAGGGGAAGTGTAGAGTCTCCTGAGGCCCTGGTTCCTGGGGCCCAGCGGCCACCCGGAGAACGTGCTCGTGAAGCTGAGGCCCTTGCCTTTTCCCCGGGGGGGGGGGGGAGGTCTAAGCTGCATGCACGTGCAAGGTGAAGGGGTCCCTTGGATCACTTCCATAAATTGAACCGAGCCCGAGGGCCGAACCTGGAAGTGCTTCACAGCCCCACCCTCCGTTGCACTGTTCTCGTCCATGTTTCCTGAGGGAACCTCTGAAATTTGCGGAAAAGTGTTGCATGCAGCTGCACAGCATGTACCCCTAAGGACATGTGGCCCGATGCATTTGAGGACTTGGCTAAATCATTAAGCAGTTGAGTCCGTGTTTAGACAACCTCGTCTTGCAGGCCTTTTGGGCATGTGAGCAGGATGGCGGGGCAACGGCCATCGAATCTAGCGACAAGTCTGTTTCATTTTGAAGAAGGTCTTGAATGATGTTAAGGCGCATGTTCTTGTGCAAATCAATAGACATGTAGTGTGCGACGGTGTTGGAGAGAGTGCCACAGTAACTTCCTCGCTTTCAGGTCACGGTGTTCACAACTCGACATAAGTGAGATAAGAGAGCTGTTCAATACCACTTGGGACACTGGCCGTCGGCTGCATTGGCTTCTGTCCCCCGTTTAGTTTAGTCTTGTCTTGCACGATTGGGGTCCTGCCCACCGGGAGTTGGCTGCACCTTGATCCGGAACACCGCTGGCCGGGTGTGAGGGCAATTGAGATGCCGACATATCAACCAAGTAGGTCGCGGCGAGGACCGCCCCGCCGCTTGGTTGCCCTTTGTCCAGGTGCAGGACATGACAGCAGCAGAGGGTTGACGTGCCTGCTGGGGGGACTGCAGATCACGGCAGGGGAGGCCCATTCACAGAATTGTGAGACTTGCTTTCTGCGTCTGCATGCATCATTGCCAATTTTGTGTGGGTTCGTCTGCGTGCTTGAATTTCTTCTGCTTGTTGCGTGCGTCGTGTGTGTGTGTGTGTGTTTTCGTTTGTGAGTCGCGTGTTTGTTTTGTGTGGTTTGTGCATGTGTCTTGGGTGATGTGTGCCTTGTGTGTGCGTGTATAGTTCATTGTCACGGTGCTCTCGTGTGTGTGTGTGTGTGCGTGTGTGTGTGTGTGTGTGGAGTGTCACAGTGTGACGTTAGTTTGTATGCGTGGCTATTGTTTGGCATTCAAGCGCTGTGTTTGTGTCGAAGGCGCTGTGTCCGTCGTCAATGTATAAGTGTGTGCCTCTATCGCTCTTTGATTCGGCTGTAGCAGTGTCTACGTTGACATATCTGCTGGCATGAGCAGGCAAGCCAAAGCTCGGGGGGATCACTGATCACAGGTAACAGAACTTAGAGACACCACTACAACACTTAAAGTCACATGATGATGCTTGAGAGGAGGCCGCGGGCCTGCACCCATGCAGTTTCTGTCCGTGCTTGGATGTACGTGCGTTCAATCTTGACTTGCATGACTCGGAGCCCTACCCACCGGGAGTTGGCTGCACCGTGATCCACTCTCGGAACACCGCTGGCCGGGTGTGAGGGCAATTGAGATGCCGACATATCAACCAAGTAGGTCGCGTGGTCCAGGGCATTGCCCGAAGGGCCCGCCGCTTGGTTGCCCGTTGTCCAGGTGCAGGACATGACAGCAGCTCGCGGCTGACGTGCGCATTGTGCTGGATTAGCTAGCTTGCTTGCTGGGGACGGCGGATCATGGAAGGGGAGGCCCATTCACACAGTTGTGAGACCTGCTTTCCGCGTCTGCATCTGCTGGGGCTGTTTGCGCTGTGGGTGTTGTTCTCCCTATGGCCAAACCTACATAGACAGTGCTCGCAATCAGGAGGCTGACATGCCCGACTGCGGAGTACACTGCAAGTGCGGAACAGCAGAACACGACAGGGAGCCGCTGGAACCAGACGCGAGACCTTTGGAGGCCCCCAGCTTGCTGCGTGCATCTGCCCATTGGTCGTATCTTGCTGGAGTTAGCCTTGGGGGATGTTAAGGGCTCGAAAACCCAGCATCTTGGGCACAGCCAACTGGGAGCTAGCTCCATGTTACACGAGCTGTGTTCTGAGCTACATCCTCGATTCTTCCGATGAAGCCACGATGCCTTAAAGCAATGTCGGGACTGGCGCCGATATAAAACTCGGTCAGAGCTTTGGCAGCGATGAAGTCAGTGCTGCTACATCTCGTCCCTGTCTCTTGGTGATGCAAGTCTGGCTGCCTTTTCGAGTGTTGAGGTTTCGAGCAGTATGGGATCTAACCCGTGGCTGTTGGAAGCAAGACTTTTCTGAACCACAGCACGCTACAAAAGCGCATTTCAAGGGCGAAGCCCGTCGTGCTTGTGTGCTTGCAGGTCTCCATGTTTGATTTTATTAGTAACCAATTAGTAGCGCAGTGATTGGCTTTCATGTGGCTGTGCCCAGGTCGCGCTGCCTCCGGCCTTGGCGAACCTCGCAGGGCAGCTGGGCCCCCCAACTGCGTATGTGTCCCCCGACACTGCGGTTGTTTGTGGTTGGATCATCCTGACATGTGCTGAGGAGGGCAGCAGATACAGGAGAGCGACCTCTTCCTAGGCGGAGAGTTCGTCTCACAGCTCAGGGCTGCATGCGATCTCGCCACCCCGAATGCACGACACAAGAACGGCATCCCTATCCCTTTCTGAGTGCTGGCCTATGCAGACGGCAGGCAGTGCAGCCTTCACGAAGAATGAGTCTGTCGCTCCGCAGCAAGCGGTGAGGCTGATTGTGATGCACACCGACCAGCCTGCAGTGTCGTGCCGGTTTCACTGACATTTCCATGTCTCATGTCTCTCAGCAGCGGCATGCAAAGGAAAATCTTGGCATCATCTACAAGTGGTTGGACGACATCATGCCGTCTAGCTGCCGTTGGGCTGAGTACAGCGACATAGATCCTAGCTAGATCCTAGCAGGGTAGAGCATGTAGTGCACATGCTTACGATTCATTCTTGCAAAGCTTGACCCCTGATACTGATAGATAGTCTGGAACTTGGTGCTGTCGGCTTAATACATCCACGCGCTTATTGAGGCTTATTGTGTTTCCCTTGCTACCTGCAATGCCAACAGCCAGAGCCCATGTCCTGCCTCTTGCGATCCTCTTGCAAGCGTCTATCTGAGAGTTGAAAGGAGGCTGGTAAGGTATGGTGACTATCCCGAGGTTATTCGTGTGCAAGCCGGGCCCGTCTGCCTCTCTCTGCGGGCCCTGCGAGTCGTTTTGCCGAGGTGGTCTCAGGCCTGGGATTTGCCCGCCCAGAGGAAGGTGGCCTATGCGCAGCTGAAGGATTTGGCGGAGGCGGGCCCACCTGTTTAGGGCTTAGGGTATGGAGTACTGCTCCGTCTTGTAACGTTTGTTCGGGGCATGTGGCCTCTTGGAAGAGGTGAGCACCCTCGCCTTGCCCTCCTTGGCCTTCGGCATCGGTTGCGGCCTGAGCCGAACTCGCAGAGGGTTTTCAGGACCTGTTGGGACATCGGCTTTTGCTTTTCGCCTCTGCCGAGGCCAGGCTTTGTACTCCTACTTCTGGTTCGAGGACAACGGAGGTAAGATCGACCTGGAGGCGAGGCTAACAGGGTCTCCGTCTGGTCTCCTTCTCGAGAAGCGAAGTCACTGAGCAGGCCGCGGATTTGTCCGTGCGCCTCCACGACCTGAGCCGCGCACTCGGGCACGTCTCGAAGCAACAGGGGGGAGGATCTCACGGTCACCGCATCGCACCGCCTCGAGGCCTGCAACACAGCGGCTGCAGCGACCTGTCCATGGGCGTTGGGACGTTCCTCAGCAAGGCAAGGCCGGCTCGCGGCAAGAGCGCCCCGGCTCGGGAGAGCGGCGCGCCGCAGGTTTGCCACGAGCGGTGGCTTTTCTTGATCATGCTCAGCGCAGAGGCGGCCCGACAGCTTTGGGATACGATGCCGAAGAAGGGTCTGGGCAGATCCGGGCCTTCCGTCCTCGAGCTTTGTAAGGCGGCACTCTGCCCGAAGCATGCCTTGATCGCTGAGCTAGCAGGTGGGAGCCGCGTTTGCGGGGCGACGAAAGGAGCTGTGTGGGTTGTAGCCTTCCGGATGAATGGTAATGGCACGGCTCCTTTACTGTGCTGCTTGCTTCTAGATGATCCGTCGTGGGTTGTAGCGCACACCCGGGATACACCATATGACATGTGCAGACAGGTGTCTAAGCTAGGGTAGGACGTGAGGGTGAGGAGATGTGGCTGTCACCACAACTTGGCCGACTTCTTAAGTTTTGTGGGTGAGAGGATGTGGGAGGATTCGGGGCCTACCCGGACAGGCCAGCAGGAGCTGGCCACGTGATCCAGTGAAGAATGTCTGAGAGTCTTAAGGATGGGACCCGGCTTGAGAGGTTTGACAACGGGGTGTGTGTAACTCATATTTTCGGTGGTCAGGACTTGGTGCATGCTGCCGCATTGCTGCAGCGCGCAAACCAGCTGTTCCTTGCCTGCAAGGGTAGCTATGGAGACCGACTTTCAGTCAGTACCTTTTTCCTTTGAGTTGATAGTCTTCAAGGTTCAACTGTACCGAGCATAGCGTCCACTAGCCTGGCGGGTCTGCAGCTGTTGACAAAAGCATGCAATCGCTGGAAGAGGATCAGCAGTTTGCGTCGGTGTTCTCCCTGCAGTCCGGCTGCTGAGGTTCTCCGACCTCAAAGAGTACCCGTTCTTCAGCTTTCGCGGGTGGCAGGTGCGGAGAGACACATTCTTGACGGGTTGCCTGCCATTTTTCGACATTTCGATGTCCTGAGTCGCTCTACGACATCAACACGAACTCCCACGCCGCGCGGCTGAGATTTGGGCGTGTTCTGAAGGCTGGCTTCCCCAATGCCAAACACCTCCGAACGCTCAGTTCTCAAGATGCGGCATTGCGGCCGAAACCGGGCCCAAACGGTTCGCTAGTCACGCCGAGGGCCACGGTTGAACCGTTTGATGATGCACGTCCGTGTGGACTTCACGGTGATGGAAGAGTAATCCTTCAGTGCCACAAATCGCCGGAGCTTGCCTCTTCCTCCTCTTCCTTGCCTCTTCGGCTTTTCCCAGGTATTCCCCGAGGGCTTCCGCCAGCGGCCGGTCTGGCCCACAGCTGCGGCGCCTTGGCTCTGGGAAGTGCCATATGGGTAGTTTCTAAGTTAGGGTCCCTTGTAGGGTCCTCTTTATAAGGGTGCCGTACTATAATGGGGACTTAAAAAGGGACCCTAATTTAGAGAACTACCCATATGCTTGAGTGTTTAACGACCTTTCCGGGTGCAAGTAAGACTCAAGATGAGAAGTCGGCAATCTGCCCCATGGGCTGCAAGACGCCCCTTCTTTAAGGGGGAATCGTAAACACTTGGTCTCCAAGCCTAAACCCTCGAAGCCCTGAACATCCTCCTGCCATAGGGACTTGAATGTATCCCCGCGTATAGTGCTTATGTAGCTCTACCTTGGCAGCATATCCCAGAGCCTTGCCCTAATCATTAAGGGCCCTATCTCAAAATCTATACAGTCCCTTGTGCACTCGATCTTTTACTCGGTTTCCAGCTTGAGGTGCCCATCGCGGTTTGGTTGGAGGAGCCGCTCCTATGCACTCCAAGTGAAGGCCTCCTTCCGAGGCTCTTGGGCCCTGGAGAGTTTGTCAGGATTTGCCCAGCATAGTCTAAGGGCTCCCCCTATGAACCATCTGACCATATGAGAGGGCTCCCGACTTGCTATGAAATTCTGGCGACAGAGGGGGGTGGGGTTGTACGTGGGTCCTTCATTTTCTGAAACCCGCGGTGGCAGCGACAGCGAACCCAACCACTTGCTGGGACCGCTAGGAGGCAGGTATGACCATCATGGCGTGTGTAAGTAATCGGGGACAGCTTCTATGACGCAACAAACCAAGGAACTACGAGGTCTTCCGGCAAGATCTCGATGCCCGGCTGCGCCCAGCCATGTGCTTTTGAGCCGATCGCACAGCGCAATGCCTGTGCGGTGCCCGAAGTCCCTGTCAGGACTTGATCCTCAACCAGAGCAGCTTCGACACGCTCTACTTTATGGGCCACGTCTCCATGACACAGCTCCGGGCCTGAATCGCCAGCAAGTGCCTGGCGCCCGTGAAGAGAGATGTCCAAGCCCTGAACCCCAGATCCTAAGCTCGGAACGCTATCAACCTGAAATTTACATCCTCGGATTGCCCCTTTTTTTCACTCCTCATGTCTGGCGAACCTCAAAATCCAGGGTTCGGGGCCCAGGTTTTCGGGCCGCCGGGAATCCTGGGCGCCACTGAACCTGCCGCAAGGCATGGATTATGTGGGATCCTATATGGGTTTAGGAAATTTAGGAAGTTCAGGGTTAAGGGTTTGCAGGGTTTAGGAGGCTTGGGGTTCAACCGTTTAGGAGGTTCGGGGTTGTGGTTGTTGGCTGAAACGATGCTGTGGAGCTGTAAGGATCCACAACCGGGAGTTGGCGCCTCACGCGTGCGAGGCCAGTGCCATGAGAATGTAGACCGCGGCTTTTACATGTTTCTCATAAGTTGGATTATGATAGAACAGCTTTGCAAATCCTAGTGAGCTTCTTTCTGCCTGTGCCACCAAAAGCCAAGGGGCAAAGACATCTGCGAGAACCTGAAATTCCCCGTGCAAATTCTGGTTGCCCTGAGAGGTAGCGCAGAGGAGCTGCAAGCTACTGGCAGAAAGGCCTGAAATCGCCCGCTGCCATGCGAGGCTTGCCCTCGAGGGTTCTTAAAAAAACTGGAGTGCCTTTATTTAGGGTCTTGATAATGAGGACCTTGCGATTTTTGGCTTTTCTTTCTTGGACTGTTGAGGTGGCGAGTGGACTGAGACGGCTTAGTGCTCCAAATTCAGCCCCCTGGTCCCAGGGACGTGGGTGCAGCCTTTGCCCGACTTCAGCCCGGCATGGGGATCAAGCCGCCACCTCGCCGCAGATTTTGGAGCCGAGTAGAAGCGTTTGGGCTTCTGTGGTCAAGATCCCTTCGTTTGGATGTTGCGAGGCATCTTTGGAACGCACCCCCGAGGCAGCTGGCGGGACCCTGCCATGTCTATTCTTCAAACTGCCAAATGGTGCAAAAGGTGCCTCGATTTGTAAGAGCTAAGTGCAGCGCTCTCTCCAGGCTGGCGGTCCACCTGGGCCTCATCACTCCTCCAGGCAGGCCCGAGCGTGGCAGAGCGTGCTGTGAGTATTGGGGAACCTCGCGAAAGATCGCAGCTCCGCAGGCGCCACCATGGCTGTGGGCTCTGAGGAGCTGCGCTGGCAGGAGGGCAAGGCCAGGAGCAGAAAGCGAACTCCGAGTCTTGCGAGCCCATGGGTGTGACAGCTATTCCCCTCTGCAGGCCGTGGTGTTCGATGCCCCTTTGCTGAGTCAGACCAGTAGCCCAATAGAGGCGGCTTCGTGAAGCCTTTCGCTGCTCTGTGCGTGCGTGCGCCGACCTACTAGCACCTGAGAGCCACGGACGTGCGTCCATTCACCTGAAAGCCATGCGCAGAAGTCGTCGGTTTGCCCGTCCCACCAAGGACACATATATCCACAGCGTGAAGCATGAAGGCTACTCGGCAATGACAGCAGCAGTGCCGCCGCATCATTCTGAGAGAAGTCGGACTGGCATGCCAGGTACTGAAGACAGATATCTGATGATTGCTTGGTTCTGCCATCCGTGCGACACGATGCATGCGGAAGTTGCTCCTGAAATCTCTGAAAGCCTGTGCTTGCAGTGAGCATGGGTAGTTTGCATGGCACAAAGACTGCTAGCGTGAAAGCCTCCCTCACAGAAGTGCAAGACATTAAAAGGCTGCTGTGCGTCAGAACGTGGCATACCAAGTGCCAGCATGGAACATGTCGACGTGTTTTCTTTCGGGCACAGACAATTGTCAATTGTCAGGAACGCCCGATTCTGAGTTCCGCAGTGGAGACGCGAACTTCTCGAGCAGGGAAGGGAGGGAAGGTGCCCACCGTTCGATTTGAAAAGGGCACCTCCGCCTCTGTTTGCTTGTGGCTGGCCAGGTGCCCGAGGTGGTCCACAGATATCCAGAAGTGCCGCCAAACGTTGAAGGCCCACCAGTTAGATGCAGCGAGCTTCCTGCGAAACGGAGAAATTATGGAACAGGCTTTGCACTGGATACCATCATGCTATCAGTGTCTCACATTGGGTCGAGCCCCGGTGCTGACGCAGAAGCTAGGCCCAATTCGCAAATTCGAGCCTTGAACCCCCGATCAGAGTTTCCTTCAACCAGTAGCATTTTTGGTTCTTTTCGCTCGCTACCGGTATCACCAAAAAATGCTAGATTGTCCTTGTCCTACTGCTGGTTTCCACGAGTACACCGCGTGGTAGGCTTGTTCGTGCGTTCATGCCCGCCTGTGTTTTTTACAATCTTGTCATATTTGCTGATGTCATGCAGAATTAGTTGAGTTCTCCGTTCGTTTCATCCTTTTTCGAAGTTCTACGCTCCAAAACCGTTTGCAGGCAGACCTAAACCCTAGGTCCTGAACCCGAAAACCCAACAAGCCCTAGAGCCTAAACCTGAAATCCTTAAACGACCTAAACAAGTGCAACAGCAACGAAGCAGGTGGCGCCTGGGGCATCCTTGGAGGTCAGCAGCCAGGCGGCCAGGCGCGGAAGGAGTTTCAGAGGAGTGATCAGAACGAAGAGGTGGTGGCAATGGTATATCTGTCAGCGGTTACAGCAGCAGCAGCAGCAGCAGCATCAGCAGCAACAGCTGGAGTAGCAGTAGAGGCAGAAGCGGCAGCGGTGGCAGCTAGCAGTTGTAGTAAAAGCAGCAGCGGTAGCAGGTAGTAGTAGTAGTAGTAGTAGGAGTCGTACAGTACTCCTGCTACTGCTGCTGCTGCTACTACCACCACCAGCGCCACTCCCACTTCCACTGTCACTGCCACCGCCAGCATCACTATCAGTGCCACTACCACTACCACTACCACTGAAACGACGACGACTACTTCTTCTTCCACCAGTCATACTTTCTCTGTTACCATCGCCATCACAGCTGCTCCAATTACTTTAGTCACTTTAGTCCTGACGATGGCAATACATAAGCCCGAGATGTTGACCATGGTAACGTCAGTGATCAGAATGGTGATAGGAGGATAGGGGATAGGTGGTCGATGCGATCATAGTTCCGGCTGCCGTGGTCCGACATGGCCAAGACAAGCGAGGAGCTGAGGGCTGAGATCGAAGCCACGAACGCGCAGCTGCAAGCGGCACACGCTGCGAGGACACAACTCCAGGCCGAGATTGCTCAGGCCGTAGAGCGGCAGAGGCTGCGGCAAGAGCTCGAAGAACAGCAGCTGGAATTGTCCGTCGCCAGGAGCACGAACCGCCAGATGAGAGGAGAGCGCGACGATATCGACGCAGACCGGAGGGATTGCAACGATTTGTCCACATGTCCTGCTGCCGCCGCTTGCAGCGGGAAGACCGGCATCAACCGTGCACGCTGCACCGGTGTCGGCCCCAGGATCGCAAAAGGCGAGTACGTGTGGGAACTCCAGCAGATGTCTTGGCTCGACGTTACACTTCAATTTCGCCCAGAAGCACTTCGTCGCATCAGCTCTCACAGTTTCGAAGTTGGTGGGTGCAGCTTCGATTTTCTATACCGCCCTGACAGAGGAGGGCTTCTCCTAACCAGCAACAAGAACGGCTCGCTTGCCATAAGGGTGGACTCCGAACAAGACATCGCGTTCCGCTACAGCATCTACATCAAAAGGAGGGGTGGCGACTTCGTCCAGTGGGGTGAGACAACTGACGCGAGCCATCATGGCAGTGATGACCCTTCTTTCACGGTCCACGGTCCTGACGTCCACCTCCGAGACTCGCCTGTCGCTGCAGTGGGAATCTTCGGTCTCACCCACGGTCAGCTCCTGCGATCGGAGTGGGTGGAGGATGATACTTTGACCGTGAAGTTCGTGTTGGAAGTGCGGCCTGATGTATCTTATCGAATGCAGCAGTCTGTGACGCAGATGGCAGCAGTGGAGATTCCCGAAGCCACCATGATTCGGGACACGCAAGCCCTTTTTGAGGAAGGCACTTGCAGTGATGTTCAGTTCAGAGTACAGGGTGAAACTATCCAGGCGCACTCGCAGGTTCTTTGCGCGAGATCGGAGGTCTTCAGGAAGCAGCTCTCGGCCGGCATGCAAGAATCCGTGTCCAAGGTGATCAACATCGAGGACTGCGAGGTGAGCACTTTCAAAGCTTTCTTGCGGTTTCTTTACACCGACCTGCTGCCCAGCACTGAGCCTGTCGAGCCTGGAGCCAAGACAGAGGACGATACTGTTGGCGCTCAGATGCTGGCCTTGCTGGCCGTGAGTCACAAGTACCAGGCGACAAGGCTGCAGCTTTGGTGTGAAGCGCAGCTCTGCAACCAGCTCAGCACCTCGGAGGTTTGCGACATTCTCTGCCAGGCTCATGTCTTCGAGGCGAAGCAGCTGGAGAAAGCCTGCTACACTTACATCAAGGACCACATGGCCGAGGTGCTAAAGCTTCCCGGCTATGCCGAACTCGTGACCAAGTGGCCGGACATCGGGATGAAGGTCAGCCTTTTCATGGGTGATGTTCCGGAGACCGACGCAGAGGAGATACTGCAGGCGTCTAAGGTGCGGAGGCTGCAAGCCGGGAAGCAGCGGATGTAGACGTTGCTGCTCAGAATTCTGCGTCCGAGTCGCCAAACAGCACAGATGTGCGAGGGATTCGTTTACATGGTCTTTAGCTTACTGCCCAAGGGTTCTAGACCAGGGGCGACTACAAGCTCCAAAGACTTTGCGATCCTTCTGCTTCGTCCCCCAAAATTCATCGTGCACCATTCAGCACGGTCTCGCAAGTCCTGCAAGAGCCTCGACCTGATCCACAAGCCGGGAAAATGAGTGCCAAAGCCGTTCAGGCCGCAGCACGTTCCGGCATGGCTGTCGCGCCTAGAACCCCTCAGTCTTGAGCAATGCCCACGGCCTGCACTCACGAGCATGACTTCATACACACTGTTCTCGTGCGGTTGCAGGAACTCCTGCCTGCTGACTGCTTTCCGGCACTTCCCGCTCGGAGCTTGAGGCGCTGCGCTGGGAGGGTGGAAGGGAGCTGACGGCTTACGGAGGGCACAGGGCGACCGGTCCTCGAGGCATGCCATCGCCTACTCGAACATCGACGGCCAAGAGCAAGTGCACGAGACCAAGGCCCTGGCACCAAAGAAGCGGGAGATCTTTATCGGCATTTTGCAAGTTGCCGGGGCACAGGTGACTTGTTCCGGGGAGGACTGTGAGACCGTGTCCAATGATGCATCGGACCTCAGCCTTGATCCTGCTGTGAAGCAAAGAGGGGCTGCTCTTTGCCACGAGGTCATGCCGCAGATCATCCGGGTGAGAACACCGACCAAGGCAGGGAGGCTTAGTGTCCAAGGTGCACGGTTCAGGGTTAAGGAAGTTTGGGGTTTAGGGCTGGGCTCTAAGAGGCTTCTGGGGGACCTGGGCCCAACGCCAGGCCGCCAAGCCCCGGCTGTGCACAGGCTCCGACTCTGCCCTTTGCTTCGGTGGCTTTGTGATGTGTGTTTGTCCACATGGCGCTGTGAAAAGTTACACAACATAATGGCAGAGTATTGCAGAGGGTCAGATCATACCACATCACACGTTGTTTTTCTGCCACGCTGAATGCAGTTACATCAATTTATGGCAGGTTCTCCGTTCCAGGGGCCCGGCTTGGTCTGGGATGGCTTCGACAATTTGGCGCCACCCGGCAGGACATGGGCAGGGTGATGAAACGTTCTCTAGGGCATTTAGAGTTTAGGTTTGTGTTGCTGCTTTCTACCTGCCAGAGCAAAGCAAGAACGGTTGTGGCTCGTTCGCAAGTGCGGCCCGTGTATGTGTTCCTGCTAGCTAAGGCACCGTGTTGCCAATTCTGCTTGCCTCTCAGAAACAATCGCCAGTCTGCTGAGCATCTGTAGCGTGGGTAGCAAAGAAGCACGGTCCGCACCTGCAGTGCCCATCCATGAATATAATCGAAGAAGCTGAGGCGAGGCGGCTGTTTGGCTACACTCCGGCAACGGACGATGTCAGGCAGAGATTCCTTGACGGTGCAATGCCTCGTGAACAGCACTTGAAGCATCTGCTCCCACCTGCTGTCTGCAGGCACGATGAAATCGCAATGCCACCAGCAAACCACAAGAGTGAAGGCCTCCTGTTCAGCCGGACACCTTCCATGCCACGCAGCCTGCGACTCCCCAGAATGGATGCCTGAGTCTCAGCAGGCATCATGAAGTCTTACGTCTACTTCAACAACAACGGTCACGAAGAGCCGCCGGCAAAGTCTCTGGAAAGTCTGCAATCTCACTGCAAGCCGTTCTGTCTTGAATACTAGAAATGAGGATGAAGCAGATCGAGTCGCACTGCAAGGATGGCACCTGCGTTCAGAGGCACGCAGTAACATGAGCAGTAAACAGAACCGGTGCAGAGCGACAGTGGGAAGAATCTGAAGCCTGCAGGACGAGAACCTTTGCTCCGCATTCCATGCAGGCGCATGAAGACTTGATGTAAGCTTCAGACGGGCTAGCAGACGGTACCGATGAGTTTTTAATTGAGGCAGTCCACCATCCTGTGCCGCAGGCCTGACGGACCCGCGGCTCGTGAAACCTTTGAGTGGAGGGGATTGCAGAATCGTGGCAGTTCAGTCACTTTGAAGGCGGCGACAGCCGACCAGCATGTTCACAAGGCTCGCCATGCACCTGGCACGTGACTCTGCCTTGCTTCTGTCTGCATGCCGTCAGATGTTGTTACTGTTGTGGATCTTAACGCTGGCTCGCACCATGTCGGGTGTAAATTGTTACGTTCCGTTAGAGCCACGAAAACTGTCAGTGCCGGGGCTTGAACGCAAGGTGAGGGAAACAGATCCAAAACACATCAAGACTCTGTCTTCAGTCGGGCCCCAGTTTTGGGAGGTCCATGCAGCTGCCGGGCACTCTCCGCAAGCTCGCGCCGCCCGGGCTTTTTGTTGAGGGTGCTTAGAAGACGCCACCAGCTAGCCCAAACCCTCCCGAGGACATCCAGCACAGCGCTCACCAGGCAGGGGTGTGTGGAATTCAGTTACAAGCAGCTCTGGTTGAGACGTCCTGTTTCAAGGCTACGGGCATGCCCTACGAAGCCTAGAAGCTCAGCTCCCGATTGGACAATCGCGAGCGACCTGGCGTCGAACCGGGCTGCGCCCAGGGGCCATCCCAAGAGAGATGCAGCGCAATGCGCGGGAAAAGTAGGGACCTGGACCGGGTGACCGGGCATGACATCATCTGCGGTCCTTCGAGCCTGGTTTCCGCGAGAAGCCATTTGGCCTTGTCCTTGTTTAAACCTGACATGCAGCAGAGCAGAAGCGTTTCTGAAAAGCTTAGATCTTTACAGAGCGGCCCGGGCGCTTGAATTGGTGGTTCGGAGCGGCAAGGACTTCTGGCAGAAGCATGCATCCCTTAGATCTGTCAGCACGCACAGTGGCTGCGCGAATCGAGCCATGGGGGCTGAACTCTCTTCCCCTGGTCCCACCCTGGAGTCAGGCACAGAAGCCATGAAGATGTGTGTGTGTGTGTGTGCGTGTCGGCCACTACCAATCTAGGGGCCTTAATGATTAGAACAGGGTTTGGGGTATATTATACTAGAATCATAATTAGGAACCCCCAAAATCCTATTCCAATTATAAGGCCCCTTTGGGTATATTCTACTACAATTATGATGAGGACCCCCCCAAAAGTCCTATTCTAATAATTTATTATAAGGCCCCTTCGTTAGTTCTGCCGTTCCTTCAACTGCTCCCGCCCTGGCAGTTCTCGAGGGTGTGGGCCCTGACATGCGCGGGAAGCTCTCCACGCAGCTGGCGCTCGAAATTATTGGATCCTCTCTTCTCATGCTGCGATGTTTTTTTGGCATGGCGGAAGCGAGCTCCTGTGCCGAGGCATTTAGAATCCATGAGCTCCCGAAACTTGAGGCACTCTGTCAAGACAAGTCCCTTGTTCTTGGGAACGTTCTGCGGTATTCAAACTTGCCGCATGCAGGTTTCGTCATGTTGCGATTTGGCGAGATCCCTTTCTTGGAGGTCGCTCCCACAGCCGGTTCAACGTGAGCATCAGCAATTAGCGAGTGTCGCCAAGACAGTTTCTCTCGCTTCTCAGCCTTCTCACCCAGGGACAATCGATCACCATACCGTTGTGTACGAGTACCTGGACGGCAGACGCTTGATGAGCCTGAAGTGCGAGACCTCAGCTCCGGTACGAGTCTGCTGCGTGCTCTGGACTTCGGATTGCCATATGCCCCTACGGAACTACGCATATCGGCACATGCCAAATCTCGCGTGCCTCTGAAGGCTGGACTGGGGCCGAGACGGCTTGCATTTCCATGACAGCCCTGAGGCCGGTCGACAACTCCGGCAAGAAGCGCATTCATGTTGTCAGACATCCCGTCATCCGGTCCAGGACCCCTGCCCCAACGGTGACGTCTTGGAGCGAAAGTGGTGTGCCCGCTTGACACCAGTCGAGGCCCAGAACTGAGCATACGACAAGATCTCTGAACCCGGGGTACTAAGACAGGCATTTGCCACCGAGGTCCTGTTGCACTGGGATGATGTCAAAGAGAGAAACTACGAGCTTTCGCGATGGAATTGCCAGCACTTCAGCAGGCAGCTGCATTATGTCATTATGCATTTGTGAGCTATCGACAGTTCTCCGTGCCCTTGGGTTTAAGATTAGGATGCCTCGGCAGGTATATGTACGACAAGGCAGATGAAGGAGGTGTGGACATGGTAAAACCGAGTTGATGTGCAAAAGTTTCACCCTTCCCGACACTTTGAGCCTCGCCTGGCAAGAGATCTGAGCCGGGACATGACAAAGAACTTTGCAGCTCGATGCACTTGTAGTCGGCACCTCGCGAGCCTGTGCGTGCGATTCCTCCAGCCCTCTGGAGAGTGTAAGGTTTGCGGGTGTCTTGGGGTTGAGGTGTCGCGCAACCCTTCAGCCTAGACTCTCTCCTCCTCCGATGCTTTGCTCAAGCTGGCCAGTCTCTAGGCATGTCAGCGCATTTCAGCAACGCAGAGTCATGATGGTTAGTGCTACAAGGTTTGCTTAAGTCTTGCTTTCAGCTGCTTCATCATGCCTCCACCGCCGATGGCTCCTTCGGAAGGCAGGGAGGGTTCTGGTGAAACATCTGGTGAAACATCTCATGAATCTCATGGGGGTTCCAGGTGCGGAATCATATTACAGGCTTTAAAGGGTCTTTGCGATTGCAAGAGCTGCATCTCATCACAAGCAGCGGGAGTATCATGTAATATTCTTGTTTCTGCTGGAAGATGCATGTCTGACTTGCAGTGAGCAGGGGGCAGAGGTTCAAGTTGCCTTTGTTACGTGAAATGTGCACCACTGCATAAGGAATCGCCCCTTCGACGCTGATGTTTCGAAGCACAGTTGGGCCCAGGCCGGGCCTATCGTGATCGGCCGATTAAACATGCTAGAGTCAGAGGCAGCATGGGGGAAGCTACAGGCTTTCAGGGTCTCGCCGGGGTAGGGTTCAAGGTTCGAGGGAAGCAGTTTCCTGACACTTTGAGGAGGAATCCCGGAGCAGGTTTGAAGTGTTTCGGTTTTAGACTTCGGAGTTTGGAAATTTAGGGTTTAGGGCTCGGACCTGCAAAAACGGTACAGAAAGCCTACGAGGGTTTTGAAAACCCTCTCCAAGGAGATGTAGAGGATCTCGCCCCCGGCAATATTGAGATCGCAAGCAGCCCTTTCTGTCCATTGACGACGGAAGGTATAACAAGAATGGAGCCAGATACCCGAGGATGGAAACAGTTGACAAGGGTAACAGTGCATAGAGATCCAGGAGCCCTTCCAATAAGAAGCATACCTTTCAACTGTAATGGCGGTCCTCCATGAGACAGCGGTCCCATCCTTATTTCTGTGGCATGGGGTTACCTAAACCCGAAATCCTAGATCCCCGAAGCGTTCATGTTTCACTGATGTCACAGTTCCTCCAGGAGGTCCTTTGATCAACGAAGCCCTAAACCTTCAAGTCCTTCGAACCGACTTCTGGTCATGTTCTTGCTGTGCCGCTGTTTGCTATTCGAGTTCCAGCTAAGGCAAGGGTTCATACAGACACCTCAAGGGGTCCGAAGAGCAGATCCCTAAAGTCTCATTGAGAATGTGCTTAGGCTTAGCTGGACCTTCAACCATCTTGAACCCTACAAACTCTAAACCTCCAAACCGTCGCTGTGAGCTTGCCGGCCCTTCAATCGACGTCATGTCGATCTCGGTTGACGTGCATTTGTTTAGTGGGAGGAGCGTATCTTTGGAGACAGACCCAGATGCGCTGGTTCAGGATTTCAGCGAGGGTGCTTCCTGTGCCCTGCGAGTCGGCAAGGGCAGGTTGCTCACTTCGTCTGCCGAAACTTTGGATGGAGCCGCAACTCTCAAAAGAGCCAAGGTAGAGGACCGCGATGTGCTGACCCTGCAAGCCGGGCATATCAAGCTTGCATCTTCCTAAAAGACTTCAACCATCACCATCAGGAAGGCAGCTTTTGCTGCAGTCCTGGGCGATTTATCTGTGGTACCCTGGGGCGATGCTGAACTTGGTGGCTCCAGCGATGATGATTATTGGGTGCAGGAGCAGCTACAACAGGTTGTGCACATCCAGGCGTCTTACAAGGCGGGGATCCTATCTTTTTCTTTCAACACGGGGGTGCACAAGACGGAAAGAACGAACGCAGAAGAGAAGCCAGAGAGAACGACAGGAAGGAGGGGACAGCGAACTACAGTGAGAAGTAAAGAGACAGCGAAACCAGAAAGAAAGAACTGCAGACAAGAGGACGGAAAAAAAGACAGAAAGACATATATAAATGAACAAAGAACTAAGCGAAAGCAAGACATAACGAAAGAACGCAAGGATCAGATGTAGGAAGGAATAGTGCGCAACATAAAAGAATAAAGGCACAAACAACAAAGACAGAAAGATAGATAAGTTCTAAACCAGTCAAGAAACAACGAACAAATAATTCAATACCCATCCAATAAGTAAATACGCAGGTACAGCAACAACAAAACAACAGAAAATATATCAGTATCAGATTATACGACCATGAGATAATACACTCAGAATTTGCAACACAGCCTCATGTGGCTTAACAAAATCTTGTTGCGTTGGGTTATACTATAACATACTAAGTTGTGCTGCTTCCTGTCAAACTGTATTATGTTACAAGTACAGCATAAGTTCATAGTAAGTGATATTGTGCGTTGATCCATTTTGTTACGTTGCGTTATAGGTGCTTTTCATTGTAACATGGTCTAAAACCTCATACAAGCTGCATGCCGTAAACCTTACACCCTAAAACCTTAAATACCAACAGGTGTTTAGAGGCTCTCTGCCTAGTGACTTGTTGCGAGGTGGAAAAAGGCCCTCAAAACAAAAATACCACGAGGTGTGTAATTTTTGGTTATCCGGATCAGACAGTTGGGCCAGTACTGCAAGGCGTGATAAGAACAGTCCTAATTCCATCAAGAACGATGCTGAATGCAGAAAGTTAGTACATACTAATCAAAATTAACACCTCCCAAAAGTTTTTTATGTTTATGATACACAAGATTTTTGCTGCATAGTCACAGAGCAGCTTTCAGTGCCTTGCAAATGCAACGGTGTTCGCACCCACAGGCAGTCAATCAATCAAATCATTAGGTTTGGATTAAACTATATTGTAATCACGGACTGTAAGATGATATGCACACATGTAGCATACTATGCTGAGGTATAATCCAACAGAGCCAAACACACTGTACTGTAGTAGAATGTTTTACTGCATTGCACGATGTATTATGTTGTATTGGATTATGTTACGACATGTTAATCTGCCTCATGTTACACGGAACAGCATACGAAATCACTAGGTCACATTATGCATTGCTACATCAGGTTACGCTGAATTGTGTATACTTTATATTGTAACATGTTATATCGCGTCGATACAGGCCGTATTCCCCCAAATATGATGAAGGCAGGAAGACTTTGCGGAAGACTTTGCTTTTAGGGATTCATGTATTTGTTGTTTCGTAATTTATGCAAGTCCTTCATCGGCAGTTGTGCTGAGGGGGAAGAGGCAGGTCCTACCAACTTTTCGATCATTGCAACTGTTACTGCTATTGCAATGATTGTTAGTTTGTTTATTGTTGCTATTCGTGTGCTTATTGCTTAGTGCAATTACGGCCGCTACTTGTATGACTCTTGTTACACTCCTTGCTCTTACTGTTTATTATTGGTATTATCACCAGTGCTGTTGTTACTCTTAATACAAGTGTTGGGCCCGCAGGGCCCGGAGTAACAATCTAGATCACAGCAGGGCCTGGAGGGCGGGAAATGCTCTCGTGGCCATTTTGGCTTCAAGCCATTTTGGCCAAGTTTTGACCAAGGTAGGTCGCAATGGGAGATCCAACTGAACAGCAGCTAGCTAGCAGGCTGCTTAAAGTTGGGTNNTGAGAGGATCCTTGTTCGATCTTCTGAGAGTTACCGATGACTCCTTGCCCGCCATATTGGGCGTTATCGATGAGCAGACCATCCATGACATAGTTGATGGATGGCGATTGGCAACAGCCAGAAGTGCCACAGGCGATCTCAGTGCATTTCGAAATGCCACTATCGGAGAGAAAGGTGCTGCCAAGTTCTTGGCAAGGATCTGTAGACTGAAGTTAGGCGTTGGACGTCTTGTGCCTGCTCCGGTTCCCCAGCTTCCTCCGCGGTTCGAAAGTTCAAGCTCTGTCAGGTCCTTTCGCAGATCGATGACACAGAGATCGAGCTACTGTCAGAGAAAGAACTTTTGGCAGCTTACGGGAGGTACGAGGTCCTCTTCGGGAAGGGCCAGCGGCCCCCAACTGACAGAGACCCGACAGCTGAGCAGCTGTCTGCAGTCAAGGCACTACTCAAGTCGAGCCAGACACCTTATGCGGATTTCGCCGTTTTCGGCCCGCATGGCACTCGCATATTCAAGAAGCTCAAGTTCCAAGGCCTAACTGTCGCACCCCCAGCTCAACTTCGAAAGATGTCTGGCTAGACTTCCTTGACGATCCGGGCCAGAAAACAAATACAATACGCGGCAGGACGGGCGAAAATCATGAAAACTATCAGAATGAGAGCAAATAGGTGAAACTTCCACTTCCAATCCAGAACTCTGCGGCGTGTCGTCGGCCGTTTGTCAGTAGGGCGTGGACCGGTTCTTGGCGGCCTTGCCGCCCTTGCCCTTTCCTTTGTCTTTGCCTTTGCGGCTTCCTAACGCCACGGCTAGCCAGCGGATGGTTGCCCAAGCATCTACTGCACTGGTGCGTTAGCGTGCTGTCCCGACCGCACCAGTT